CTGAACTGTAACAATACAAGGTATAATATAGCACAACTCATCGAATGAAACTCAACGTTGTGATTACACAGTGGAAGTGATAAAAAAAAATTTGATCGATCGATCTGTATTCATGTGATCTACGGATTCTGAGGAAGGAATATATACAAAGAAAGAGTGTTTAACAGAAAGGCAGATTCGGTGCACTCAAATCTAGACTGCTAACTCTCAGAATTCGAAGAGAACGTGAACACAAAAAAAAAAATTCTTGAATACTGATAAGTTGATACTGTAATTATTCATCTATACAGAATACAAGGTATCGGCTCTTTCTTACTGGAGGAATGAACAAACTCGGTGGAGTGGATGACTCAGACAGTGACTCAGGCAGAGACGGTTGGTAGTGAGTCATCTACTGGTACACTAGTTACTGGTAACTGGTTACTACTACTGAGAGACCAAGCAGTAGCAGACCAAGCGATAGCAGACCAAGCGGTAGCAGACCAAGCAGTAGCAGACCAAGCGGTAGCAAACCAAGCAGTAGCAGACCAAGAAGTAGCAGACCAAGCGATAGCAGACCAAGCAATAGCAGACCAAGCAGTAGCAGACCAAGCGGTAGCAAACCAAGCAGTAGCAGACCAAGCAGTAGCAGACCAAGCGATAGCAGACCAAGCGGTAGCAGACCAAGCAGTAGCAGACCAAGCGGTAGCAAACCAAGCAGTAGCAGACCAAGAAGTAGCAGACCAAGCGATAGCAGACCAAGCGATAGCAGACCAAGCGGTAGCAGACCAAGCAGTAGCAGACCAAGCGATAGCAGACCAAGCAGTAGCAGACCAAGCGATAGCAGACCAAGCAGTAGCAGACCAAGCGATAGCAGACCAAGTGATAGCAGACCAAGCAGTAGCAGACCAAGCAATAGCAGACCAAGCGATAGCAGTCCAAGCGATAGCAGACCAAGCAGTAGCAAACCAAGCAGTAGCAGACCAAGCAGTAGAAGACCAAGCAGTAGCAGACCAAGCAATAGCAGACCAAGCAGTAGCAGACCAAGCAGTAGCAGACCAAGCGATAGCAGACCAAGCAGTAGCAGACCAAGCAGTAGCAGACCAAGCAGTAGCAAACCAAGCAGTAGCAGACCAAGCAGTAGCAGACCAAGTGGTAGAAGACCAAGCGGTATCAGACCAAGCGGCTGCAGATCAAGCAGTAGCAGACCAAGCAGTAGCAGACCAAGCGGTAGCAGACCAAGTGGTAGCAGACCATGAGGTAGCAGACCAAGCGGTAGCAGACCAAGCTGTAGCAGACCATTCTCAGTTTCATTATTTTTTAGCTATTGGGGTCAGGATGATTGGGCTGTTATCAGAAGCTAAGGATCTACCCCCCCCCCCCGGTTTTTAAATCGATGTCAAACTATCCCACCTCCACATTTCCGGCAGGATATATTTGTGTAATGATATATTAAAGAGACTGGCTAGTGGTTTACTAAGCTCCTCTTTACATTCCTTGAGAACACTTGAAAATACTCCAGCAGAGCCCCAGGGACTTGAGTAGTTATAATCTCTCTAAAAACTAAATCACTCTTGACTGAGCCCATGTAATGTGTCTTATCATAGCCTCTTTCTGCTGAAATTCTTTATAAACGACTGTAATAATTCACATGAAAAGCCGAGTGCAGGTATTTTATGTGAATGTTATATATATAATTGTTTCTGGGTGAATGTTATGTATGTATTGTAAAAAAAAAAAACAGAGTAAATATGTCTTAAAAATGGAACATTTCTCTTAATCATTATCATTTAACTTGACTCGCGAAAACGTAACGACATAATTGCAAACAAACCATACTACGGGCGGGGTTAGAACCCGCGGGGATAGAACTTACTGGTCGCGGGTTCTATCCCCACCCGTGGTATGGTTTGACCTGATTTACATTTAAGGAAGGTCTATCTTTTTCCCTAATCTTAATCCTATATATCAGAAAAAAAAAATCTTATTGGGTAGGTTTGGTCCACGTTCCCTGGGGAAAAATTATTGACTTCACCTGAAACTTTTGACCTGACGTGACCCTCCCAGAGAGCACAGAGAAATGGAGGTAGATCGATCTATACTCACACCAGCTGTGATAAACGATCAGAAATGAACGTTTCCTTGGCTCGCCCAAACACCGCGCTGCCAGACGATTAAAAGGTAAATAAAATAAAAATATAATCATATGCAGTAGGCCTACTGTATCATGTTAGGCACATCTAATTGCAAAGAAACACTGCAATACGCCTTGCGGCTTCTTTTTTCTATATGTTTATTTCTGATTATGGTATAAACCTTGGTAATAAATACAGACAAATTGGTTTAGAAAAACACGTAAGCAAACACTAGGATATATTTATCAGAAAATGTTTGGGTCCTGAACCTTGATCACTTCTAACATACAGAGGTTAAAAGACAATATATATAGGCGGAGAGTGAGGTGTGAGTGATGTGTGAGTGACGCATGGTGACCTGAGTGATGTGTGAGTGACGCATGGTGACCTGAGTGAGGTGTGAGTGACGGATGGTGACCTGAGTGATGTGTGAGTGACGCATGGTGACCTGAGTGAGGTGTGAGTGACGGATGGTGACCTGAGTGAGGTGTGAGTGACGGATGGTGACCTGAGTGAGGTGTGAGTGACGGATGGTGACCTGAGTGAGGTGTGAGTGACGGATGGTGACCTGAGGTGTGAGTGACGGATGGTGACCTGAGTGAGGTGTGAGTGACGCATGGTGACCTGAAGAATGCACTGTTTTCCTAGCAGTAATCTAAAACCATTTATCACAAGACAACAGTGCATAAGTGTTCGCAATAAAGCGAACAGAATCCTTGGCTGCATATCAAGAAGCATAAACAATAGGAGTCCTCAGATTGTTCTTCAGCTCTATATTCTTATAGGCCTCATTTAGATTATGCTGCACAGTTCTCGTCGCCGAGATACAGAAAGAATATAAATGCACTGGAAAACGTACAAAAGAGGATGACAAAGTTGATCCCGTGTATCAGAAATCTTTCCTATGAGGACAGACTGAGGGCCCTGAATCTGCACTCTCTAGAAAGGCGTAGAATTAGGGCTGATGTGATTGAGGTGTATAAATGGAAAACAGGAATAAATAAAGGGGGAGTAAATAGAGCGCTAAAAACATCTAGCCAAGACAGGACTCGCAGCAATGGTTTCAAGTTGGAAAAAAATCAGATTCAGGAAGGGTATAGAAAGCACTGGTTTGGTAATAGAGTTATGGATGAGTGGAACAAACTCCCGAGTACCGTCATAGAAGCTAAAACGTTGTGTAGTTTTAAAAATAGGGTAGATAAATACATGAGTGGGTGTAAGTTGTCCCTGACTAGCTTGTGCTAGTAGGTCTGATGTCGTGCTCCTTCCTTAAGGTTGGGTCAGTGGCATAAGCTGGTAGGTGACTTGAACCTAACTGACTCAAGAAATCGTAATGACACGATTGCAAATAAACCATACCTCCGGCCGGGATTGAACCCGCGGTCATAGAGTCTCAAAACTCCAGCCCGTCGCGTTAGCCACTAGACCAGCTAGCCACGGCAGTGAAGGGACTTGAGCTAGAGTTCGTCACGGCCACGCTAGCTGGAGATTCGTCTGTAAAAACTTGCATTTGTGGTCACAGAGGTGCCTGTGCTAACCTTCCTATGGTGTAGAAATATACCTAGTTGGATGAATCTTATTGTGGCTAGCTGGTCTAGTGGCTAACGCGACGGGCTGGAGTTTTGAGACTCTATGACCGCGGGTTCAATCCCGGCCGGAGGTATGGTTGACTTGAACCTACCTAGCACGGGCCAGTACACCTGCTGCAATGCTCCCTCTTTCTTATGGACTTATCACTAGGTACTTCCTGGGAGCCCACGCAGTCTCCTCCTCCACCTCGTTCCTAAGAGAGAAATGCGAATACGTCTACAGTCTTCATAGAGTTACACAACCCGACTATGAAAGGAGACCGGAAATCATTCTGCATATCACCAGAGCGGAGCTCACCAATAAAAAGCAACAGTCCTACCGGTGAACCAAACTAGCAGCAACTTAACCATCACCTTAGCCAAAACCAACTTTAGAGACGGAAACCTAACCTCCGGTGGTGTAGTTAAATGGTTCATTGAACCGACAAGTTGATACATTATACTCATGTGCAACACTTGGGTATCTTTACTGTGGAAACGTTCATAACACAGTGGCGAAACGTTTCCACAGTGAAGGTACCCATGCGTTACACATGTGTCTAATTTATCAACATAGGTTCCAATACTATCAACGACTATAAAAAACTAAAGCAGTAAACAATACTGTAGTATGTCCACACCATGCCCTATGGAGGCTGTCAAAAATCTTACATGGACACTTCCTGGGACTTAAACACAAGTATCAAGAAACAGTTATGCTTACCAGAGGGACGACACTAGCAACACATGTACGGTACATCGTGACACCTGTAACCTCCCGATGAACTTCCCTGAAGTAAAATTAGCTATCAAGAAAGCAGATCAAGGAAGCAGCCTGTATTTGGAAATTACATTAATCTCCACTAACAACATCATTTCACAAATCTTTGGATCATGCACCATCTCCAAGGTTTTAAAAAAGGTAATCCTACCTATAATTAATACTGCCATTACCTGAAAACCTCACTACCTCGCCAGAGACCTCAGCCCCTCGCCGCAGACTACGATGAACTCATTCTCAACTAATAAAGTCTCTGAAGGGCAAAATGTCCTCTAAAATACCATAACATAAACATTGTCATTATCATTAGAGAGGGATTGTGTATGGGGGGGGGGAGTTATAGAGTGGGGAAGAGATGAAAGAGGTCGTAAAGTCGTGATCACGAGAGAGAAAAAGAAGGAAATAAGGATGAGAGTAGGGTAGGAAGGAGGGAATAAGGGAGGGAAGGGTGGTGGAAGAGAAGGAGTGGTGTGAGGGCGTGTTCAAGGGAGGGGCGAGAAAGACAATGTGAGCAACCGTGGCTTATAAAAGGCAGCAATACATCGGCAACCCAGTCGTAACCACGCCTCCACCGTGTGTGTACACTTGCTAGTTTCACCTGCTCAGCTCACCTGTGCCACTTGGTACCGTCTCACGCCGTGGCGTGGACCTGTCGCATCCCGCGGTCCGAAGCCTTCGCATCACGTGGATAACTGCCACACTCTGGCCAGCACTTATCGCTTTCTGTGACGGTACCTTTGTGGAATCCCGGTACCGCTCGTACCACCGCGGGTCTTGTACTCATCGTATACACTAACTGGCACAGGTTGCTGGTAGCAGTAGACATTTGAAGCAGTGTAGCACTAGTTGTTTCACAGTGGTACCGCGCTGAAGGCGACTAGAAACTAGCCACCGTGAGCTGCTAAAGCTCCGGTATCTGAGAGACGAGCCCAGACAACATGAGGTGAGTACTACTGCTGCAGAGGCTATCACGGTGCAACCATTACAAATATATTAGCAATGACAAGTCTGGATGTAATAACCAATAACGCTTTAACAAGCAACGAAACCGAGGACCAATCAGATATTAGGGCAGGTTAAAGTGAGAATGTTACTGTGTCTTATGACAAAATATTAGGGAACGGATGTTTTTGCTAGATATAACATTTGATGTAGGACGTAGAATTCATGAAGAAAAATCTCTTACTGGTAATAAGAGAATTATTATCTACAACAATTATAGCAAAATTATATCCAAGACTGATTTCTGTTTGTCGCTTCGTTGCAATGGCCGTGGTACAATTAGCTAATCAAAATCTGCGACCTAAGCTGTGTAGAATTAATTTAGTCGACTCGGTGAATGAAAAAATTCCCCTTCTTCCAGTCGAGTATTTTAAAACCCCTTCAGAAACCCCAGAGTGATGGACACAGGTGCTTGAATGGAAATGGGTGGATTTCAGTAGTGTCCCCTTGGAACGGGCCATTGCTCCCATTTTCTTATATTTTTATGTGCGGAGTGTACTGTCTTACGACTCGATCGTCATGGTTTCCAACCCCGCCCGTTACGTGGTTTATGTGTAGTGTAGTGTGCCAGTGGTCGTATGTGTAGCATACCAGTGGTCGTGTGTGTAGTGTACCATTGGTCGTGTGTGTAGCGTACCAGTGGTCGTGTGTGTAGCACACCAGTGGTCGTGTGTGTGGTGTACCATTGGTCATGTGTGTAGCGTACCAGTGGTCGTGTGTGTGGTGTACCAGTGGTCGTGTGTGTGGTGTACCAGCGGTCATGTGTGTAGTGTACCAGTGGTCGTGTGTGTGGTGTACCAGCGGTCATGTGTGTAGCGTACCAGTGGTCGTGTGTAGTGTACCAGTTGTCGTGTGTGTGGTGTACCATTGGTCGTGTGTGTAGCGTGCCAGTGGTCGTGTGTGGTGAACCAGTAGTCGTGTATGTAGTGTACCAGTGGTCGTGTGTGTAGTGTACCAGTGGTCGTGTGTGCACTGTACCAGTGGTCGTGTGTGTAGTGTACCAGTGGTCGTGTGTGCACTGTATCAGTGGTCGTGTGTGCACTGTACCAGTGGTCGTGTGTGCACTGTACCAGTAGTCGTGTGTACACTGTACCAGTGGCCGTGTGTGTAGTGTACCAGTGGTCGTGTGTGTAGTGTACCAGTGGTCGTGTGTGCACTGTACCAGTGGTCGTGTGTGCACTGTACCAGTGGTCGTGTGTGTAGTGTACCAGTGGTCGTGTGTGCACTGTACCAGTAGTTGTGTGTACACTGTACCAGTGGTCGTGTGTGCACTGTACCAGTGGTCGTGTGTGCACTGTACCAGTGGTCGTGTGTGTAGTGTACCAGTGGTCGTGTGTGCACTGTACCAGTAGTTGTGTGTACACTGTACCAGTGGTCGTGTGTGCACTGTACCAGTGGTCGTGTGTGTAGTGTACCAGTGGTCGTGTGTGTAGTGTACCAGTGGTCGTGTGTGTAGTGTACCAGTGGTCGTGTGTGCACTGTACCAGTGGTCGTGTGTTCAATGTACCAGTGGTCGTGTGTGTAGTGTACCAGTGGTCGTGTGTGTAGTGTACCAATGGTCGTGTGTTCACTGTACCAGTGGTCGTGTGTGTAGTGTACCAGTGGTCGTGTGGTAGTGTACCAATGGTCGTGTGTTCACTGTACCAGTGGTCGTGTGGGCAGTGTACCAGTGGTCGTGTGTGTAGTGTACCAGTGGTCGTGTGTAGTGTACCAGTGGTCGTGTGTGTAGTGTACCAGTGGTCGTGTGTAGTGTACCAGTGGTCGTGTGTGTAGTGTACCAGTGGTCGTGTGTAGTGTACCAGTGGTCGTGTGTGTAGTGTACCAGTGGTCGTGTGGTAGTGTACCAATGGTCGTGTGTGTAGTGTACCAGTGGTCGTGTGGGTAGTGTACCAATGGTCGTGTGTTCACAGTACCAATGGTCGTGTGTTCACAGTACCAGTGGTCGTGTGTGTAGTGTACCAGTGGTCGTGTGTTCACAGTACCAGTGGTCGTGTGTGTAGTGTACCAGTGGTCGTGTGTGTAGTGTACCAGTGGTCGTGTGTGTAGTGTACCAGTGGTCGTGTGTTCACAGTACCAGTGGTCGTGTGTGTAGTGTACCAATGGTCGTGTGTTCACAGTACCAGTGGTCGTGTGTGTAGTCATCTATCACGACTGCAAAATGCACAAAATTTTAAATTCTCTACAGCCCGGATTCATTCGTCTTTCCAACCGAAAGTTTTTTTTTTTTTTTTTAGCAAATATATGGCAAGCATCCAGAAGAAATAATTCTTAATAAAAAACATAATCAGACTACAGCTTCAATCTTGACCCCAAAACAGATTCTCTTTTTTTTTCATGAAACCCAAAAAAAAAAAAAAAAATCAACAGAGAAACTCGCAACATCACTTGTGCTAATCACCTGAATTTTTCCTGAAACATTAGTAAATAGCTGACATTTTCAGATAAGATTTTAGCTTAATTTGCATATCCAGCATACGATTTAATAATAATAATAATAATAATAATAATAATAATAATAATAATAATAATAATAATAATAATAATAATAATAATAATAATAATAATAACCATGATGAAGATGAAGATGGTGATAATTGTTGTATTTATTACAAGAAACCACAGACTGTAGTAAGCGAGAAGAAAGACCTCGGAGTGATCATTAAGCTCGACCTCACATAAACCAAATAATTTGTAGTTGAGAATAACATAGCTATCAGAGAGTTGTTTTATGACACGAAGGTTTTAAAAAAATAGAAACCACAATGGGGATATTAGTTAAACCACACCCTGAAGACATTACATAGTGTGTTAAACCACACCCTGAAGACATTACATAGTGTGTTAGACCACACCCTGAAGACATTACATAGTGTGTTAAACCACACCCTGAAGACATTACATAGTGTGTTAAACCACACCCTGAAGACATTACACAGTGTGTTAGACCACACCCTGAAGACATTACATAGTGTGTTAGACCACACCCTGAAGACATTACATAGTGTGTTAAACCACACCCTGAAGACATTACACAGTGTGTTAGACCACACCCTGAAGACATTACATAGTGTGTTAGACCACACCCTGAATACATTACATAGTGTGTTAAACCACACCCTGAAGACATTACATAGTGTGTTAAACCACACCCTGAAGACATTACACAGTGTGTTAGACTACACCCTGAAGACATTACATAGTGTGCTAGACCACACCCTGAAGACATTACATAGTGTGCTAGACCACACCCTGAAGACATTACATAGTGTGCTAGACCACACCCTGAAGACATTACATAGTGTGTTAAACCACACCCTGAAGACATTACATAGTGTGTTAGACCACACCCTGAAGACATTACATAGTGTGTTAAACCACCCCTGAAGACATTACATATGTGTTGTAGACCACACCCTGAAGACATTACATAGTGTGTTAAACCACACCCTGAAGACATTACACAGTGTGTTAGACCACACCCTGAAGACATTACATAGTGTGTTAGACCACACCCTGAATACATTACATAGTGTGTTAAACCACACCCTGAAGACATTACATAGTGTGTTAAACCACACCCTGAAAACATTACACAGTGTGTTAGACTACACCCTGAAGACATTACATAGTGTGCTAGACCACACCCTGAAGACATTACATAGTGTGCTAGACCACACCCTGAAGACATTACATAGTGTGCTAGACCACACCCTGAAGACATCACACAGTGTGCTAGACCACACCCTGAAGACATTACACAGCGTGTTAGACCACACCCTGAAGACATCACACAGTGTGCTAGACCACACCCTGAAGACATCACACAGTGTGCTAGACCACACCCTGAAGACATCACACAGCGTGTTAGACCACACCCTGAAGACATTACATAGTGTGTTAAACCACACCCTGAAGACATTACATAGTGTGTTAGACCACACCGTGAAGACATTACATAGTGTGTTAGACCACACCCTGAAGACATTACACAGTGTGTTAGACTACACCCTGAAGACATTACATAGTGTGTTAGACCACACCCTGAAGACATTACACAGTGTGTTAGACTACACCCTGAAGACATTACATAGTGTGTTAGACCACACCCTGAAGACATCACACAGTGTGCTAGACCACACCCTGAAGACATCACATAGTGTGCTAGACCACACCCTGAAGACATCACACAGCGTGTTAGACCACACCCTGAAGACATTACATAGTGTGCTAGACCACACCCTGAAGACATCACACAGCGTGTTAGACCACACCCTGAAGACATTACATAGTGTGCTAGACCACACTCTGAAGACATCACATAGTGTGTTAGACCACACCCTGAAGACATTACACAGTGTGTTAGACCACACCCTGAAGACAATACATAGTGTGCTAGACCACACCCTGAAGACATCACACAGCGTGTTAGACCACACCCTGAAGACATCACACAGCGTGTTAGACCACACCCTGAAGACATCACACAGTGTGCTAGACCACACCCTGAAGACATCACACAGCGTGTTAGACCACACCCTGAAGACATCACACAGTGTGTTAGACCACACCCTGAAGACATCACATAGTGTGTTAGACCACACCCTGAAGACATCACATAGTGTGTTAGACCACACCCTGAAGACATTACACAGTGTGTTAGATCACACCCTGAAGACATCACACAGCGTGTTAGACCACACCCTGAAGACATCATACAGTGTATTAGACCACAGCCTGAAGACATCACATAGTGTGTTAGACCACACCCTGAAGACATCACACAGTGTGTTAGACCACACCGTGAAAACATCACACAGTGTGTTAGACCACACCGTGAAGACATCACGCAGTGTGTTAGACCACACCCTGAAGATATCGCACAGTGTGTTAGACCACACCGTGAAGACATCACACAGCGTGTTAGACCACACCCTGAAGACA